TTTAATCTCAGGCAGGACTTGAGACCGATTTAAAGCATGTGGAAATGATTTCTGATCTTAGGTATGCACATCAGTCCCTTGATGTTTTCAACAAAGAGCCTTCAAAGCATTGTCGTCATCAGCCTCATGATCTCGCAGGACGCAGTAATCTCCTGTGAGATGCAATCAGCCTGAAGACGCACTCAGCTCCATCAAAAGACCCCGTTAGTAATCAGGGTCCTGAAGCATCTATGTGACAATTAACATTGAGACTACACTTCAACCTTATATACAAGCTACTTGTCATCCCTCAAGAGATGGTCTGCAGCCCTTTTGTACTCACTTCATAATATTCACATAAAGTAAACAAACTTGAAGTGACAAAAGACATTAGTCTTCTGGCACCCACACACTTTTCAGACGGGAAAAGTGAAACAGCTGAGCACACCCATATCTCCTTGGCTTTAAGTGTGCATTAGGACGGTGACATGCTTTCATTATTATGGCTGTGTACTCCGACACATTGACTTTGAGTTGCCGGAGTGACTATGAGGTTGAAATACAAATTTGTAGCATTAGGGATGTTCAAGAAGAACTCACACCAATATTGTGTAAACTGTTGTGACTGGTTGCTCAATGCAATGCAGTTCAGTACAATGTACACACACGTACACACGTACACACATACACACGCACACGCACACGCACACACATGTTAATAATCCCATTACAGTTTGTGCAGGAGTACAAACTAAAGATCAAATATGTGCATATTTGTGCATTTGTTGAATTTTTCTTGGCAGTATTAAATTCACCATTCAGTGTAGGCTGGAAAAGTATGCAAACACCCACTCTACCAACATCGACCACTCCTAATTGGAGTCTTCTCAAACCTGGAGTCCGGTCAATGAGACAAGACTGACAGTGCGGGTTGCCTCACAAAGAACAGACCTCTAAGACTTGTGATCAAGAATAGCTGCATTTGCATGAAGCTGAACAATGTTACAAAGACATCTCAACAGTTTTGATATTATTTAGTCTAAAGTTTGACAGACTGTCCATGGATGGAGTTTTTGTTTTGCTGTGTCTGCCCTCTCTCTAGAATCCAGAATGATTCGAGAGGTAAAAAAAAGAAGCAGGGTCAGTCATTTGTTTTCTTTTCATTTTCAATTAAATCTATTTATTTCTGGGAGTAACTGATGGTTAAACCTGTTCTCTGTAATAACTGAAAACATCTTTTCTCAAGACGTGTCATTCCATTTTAAACAGGAAACAGTATTATAACTGTCAGCGCACAGCACAGAGTACTGCACATTTTGTGTGTATCTTCTGGTATAAATATGTATTTATTTATTTTGACTTTGAGTGTTAGAAGTTGGATTTTCTCCACACAGTGGTTCTCCGTTCCTAACTCCTTACATCTTCCCCTTCACATATTTCCCTGACCAGGTGACATATTCCACAGAAGCCATAGTCTGTGTTTAAGTGGAGCAGGATTACGCCACAGAGGAAGTAGCTCCAAATAAAAGAGAAAAAAACATGACCGCTGGCCTGAAGTCTGGCAGAGAGCAGCTCAACACTTGGTGATGCATAACTGTGAAAAGGTTTATTGAATTGATAAATCCAAGTTTTAATTTGGTTTAGAGGAACATGCAGCACTGATGGCCAGGTGGCCAATGTTCTTCTGGCAAACCGTGGGCAGTCACATTCACGTGGCTCTTACATTGTCATTAATATCGCTGCAGATCAAATAAAGAATCACTACAATTGTTTTACTTTTCACGCACATTGAATATGCAGTGGGTCTAACCTCTCTCTGAGTGCATTCCTATATATAGACCCTGACATGCAACATATAATCTACACTCAGGGTAGAAATGACTGAGTGGTCCCCTTTTGGATGTAGAATTATGTTCATCGGTGGTTATTTACAGGCTCACCGGACCCAGCTCATTGATGCCATTTCTCCCTGATCTAAGTGGACGACTCTGGCCTCTTCACAACAGAGGCAGGAGTCAGGTCAGGCAGCACAGGTTGATGTTTTGAGGGCGCGATGATGGAAATAACTGCAGTTCTCTTAGGTGGGGGAAAGCGTGCATGTTACCACAGACACACACTACTACACACCTGCACGTGCACACAACACAAACACACAGTTCCATAAAAAGCAACCTTGCCATGGTATCAACTGATGAGTCATTTATTTCTAATCCAGACATCTCTGGTGTGCACGTTCTGCCACAAGCCTTTGACAGTAAACTGTTAATCCTGCCTAAAGTCTAACTCCACAGATTGTGATTGAGAATTCTTCAACCTCATGCAAATAAATCCCCATGTCAACAACTGCTGTACAGAGGATGGTCTGTGAACATGGTTCCGATGAATGGGTTTCATTAAAGGGAATCAAAAAGAAGAAACAATACTTAACTCATCATAACCTTTTCTGATACAATCACGGGTTAACAGGCTTAGTCATCTGGTTTTTGCAAAGGTATTTAAAGACAGTGAAGTAAATACACCTCATTATTGTAGCAGCATCTCGCTTATGGGACGTTCAGGTGTTATTTTCCCTTTAAATTGATGGAGGATTTCATACATTTCATTGTTATGTCGCAATTTTTTCAGACAAATACAATGCAGCACACTAACATGAAAACACGATGCTCCATTACACTCCCACGACATTAAAATGCAGGTTACATCAAACTAATAACATTAACTTGCTGTCATGATATCGGGCTGATGCTTGTATCATGACAGCGGAAAAAATTACAAATTATAAATGACATGAGTCTATTCTCAAAAGTCCACAGGCAACAGGACCAGGAGGAATGTCCACAGGCCACTAGGACTGACTAATGTTAAATTCATATGTAAAAACTTTTTCAAGCTGGAACATAAACTCAGGAACTTGTCGAAGGTTAGACTTTGGTTACTTGTAAACTGTATGTCCACCTCTCACCTTGCTCTTCGTTGTCATGTACATATTAGAGAGAACTGTCAGGGTGATGTTAAAATGCTGTAAACACACAACTACAACACATTTTGTTTACAACCTCCACATTAATACGAATTCACAACTCAGGAGATGAAACCTTGCAAGGACCATGTGAATACACAGCCACCTGGGTAAATTACTTTAGTAAGTAGTATTCAGCTTTCTGTGATGCGCAAGCAATGGTTGGGCATGTACGCAAAGTGCAGAGGCAAGCATGATTGAGTGTTGGTGTCAACAGCAGCCAATTTGTTGCAGTACGTGCACACGGCTATGGAAAGCCCTGAGGATAAGCAGGTCGGTCAGTCACTGTTAATGAAAAACTGTAGGTAAGCATGGACAACCTGACAGGTCCTTAAAGTGATGCCATGTTATCTTGACCCCCCCCCCCCCCGCCTTCTCCGTGTTAGCAGAAACAATGTTTCCAAAAGAGGGTGGAGGGTTTAGATGCACCCCGCTAATCTAGTGTTAGTCGCCAAACGATCATTTCTCCTGATACGATTGGTTTCATGAGTTGATATAATTAGTAGTTTGTTGCTATAAAAATAGGCTGATAAGTCATGATTGACAGCTGGGACTGCCTTGTGATTGGTAGGAAGGGTGTATGAGTCAGACCTCAATACTGCAGCTCCACTCAATGATTTTTACTGTGTGTACACTACTGGATAAGATGAGGCCGTCACTATCTGGAAAATTGTGACTTTGACTGGCATTGTCCATCCAGCACTGCTCTGCTTATAGCTTAACTTAATCTCTCGGGTGTGTGACTGAGTTTGTAACACTGCATCGTATATTATGCTCTCATTGATATGGTGGGCTTCAGTTGTAACGTACTGTGTATTCACATGCTCCTTGGAAGGTCATATTTCCTGAGTGGTGAAGTCGTTGTTTGGACTTTGGTGTGTCCACGTGCACTGATGCCAGGATGTGGGGAAAAACACCCCTTTCCAATATTTGCAGACTAACAGAGAGCAACAAAAAAGGATCAGGTGTGACAGACATAATTTAAACTGTGCACGGTTATCATGAAAATGTCTAAATTGAATAAAGTCTAGGCATATGTGAGGGATGGACACGCTATTTGAAAGTGAGAAGAAGAAATTGCGGGCTGACCGGCACAGAGCGACGCGCTTCCAGTGTGAACAGCCAAGTGGCTGCTCCCAAGAGAGTACACGCTTCGCAGCGCGTCCGCCTCCGGTGCGGTACAGGCGTTAGTGAGGTGTAGTAAAAAGTACATAGCAGAACTAAGGGATGGTTTAGGGCTCAGCCTTATGAGCTTGATCAACGAGAAACTATTTTAAGTCTCACCGTAAATGCAGAGATAGTGTCTGCCTCCCGAACCCACAGTGGGAGTTCACATTAAAAGCTACTTAGAGGTAACTTTCAGAGTGGTTCCAACTTGAGATGGCGTTCACATGGATTCTCCTTGTAATTTCTGAACACACAAATACACCAATTAACGCACAAATACACCAATTAACCACCACAATAAAACCAGTTTCCAATTTTGATGATCTGTGAAATAAGTCGTAAAGTCTTGTTAGACTCTGGAGATCCAGGATACATGTCCTGGAAACGAAACATCTAGTTTAAACTCAAACATTATGAAGCTGCAAAGATTTTACTCTCAGTGCAACAGCTTAAACACATTTTCCAACAAAATTTCAACAACTTGCTTTCGAAGAACGTCCCACCTGTTTGGCTCTCTCTTCTGTACAGAGTATCTGCCCTTGCCACAGAAATACCACACAGATGGGAATGTTGCTTGCACTGGTCGTTGTGACACTGAAAAAATAGTTTTATCTGATTTTGCCAAGGCTCGATAAGTGGGGAAGGGACTGAGAAAATACGATTCTGCAGGCCAGGTTTTATTTTGGAATCAAAGAATGAAGAACACATAGATGAAATTGGTTTTCAAAACATTGTTATAATTACCTCAATTATTGTGACAGCAGGACTCATTAAAATACTGATGGAATAATAATTATTAAACTTGATAAGACGTTTTTATTTTTTATCCTGGAGTTCTAGTATTTAATCAAGTAATGTTAATAAGAAAATGAGAGCTCTTATATAGTGTTTTTCCATCCTGACTCACTCAAGGCACTTCACAGTACAAGTCACATTCACACTCCACATTTAGTGCTTCCACAAGCAATGCTTATTTGATTACATCACTCATACCCTCACTGTCGTCAGGGGCAGGGATTGAACCATGGAGCCCCTGGTTAGTGGACGACCGTCTCTAACCTCGATCCACAACCGTGTTCCCCAAGAAAATTTGGAGTAGCATGGTAAAATGATCCTTTTCCTTTCAAATTCAAACTTTACTCCATTTAAAATCCAACAGATGAATATACTTTTCATGTTTTCACTGTGACAGTCTTTGGTGTTCCTCAGCTAAATGTTTGGGATGTCACGCTCGTTTTCTGCTGACTACAGCACAGTCCGCATTTGAATGTGATAAGCGTATCATCTGATGGCCGTCTGCTGGTTTGCCACATACACTCCTTTATCGCTCTCTTCTGCACTGTGATTGATCTCTGTTGTCAAAGTACTTTATATCTGTTGTCAGCAAAATGAAGAGGTGATTGGCTGCACATTTGTCCACAAAGTCATTCTGAAGCATTGGACTTGTGAAGGTTATCAACTCACACAAAATCTAAGGCAAACATCGACTTTCAGTCAAAGTCAAGTTGCAAGCCTTATCTGATAATGTCAAATCAAGTCGAACGTCGTCACATTCTTGACTCTGTCCCTCTGACTCAAATTCAAGTCATGTGGCAGAGGTCCACACCTCCAGACATAGATTAGTGCAAAGGGGGAAGAGACTTTTCTAAAGACAAGACAATGGGGCCGGACAAAGTTTGAAGTTCAATGATCAGCCTGCAGAGGATCAAACTTCAATCACGTGGTCAGACAAAGGCTTCAGGCGTCTCTGTCAGGGGGGATTTTATTCTCTGATGTTGAGACGCAGCAGTGAAGATCAATTGGTCACATTTTTTTCATTATTACTATTATTATGATAATTTTCAACAGGAAAAACCCCAGTAGCTGAGTCTTTCTCTCCTGACCTCCTCCACAAAGGAGAATGGCACAGCTGAGCATGCTCCAGAGTCCTCTTTATCCCCTCTGCCCGTCTCTCCCCATGTCTCCGACCAAAGCCACGTGCTGATGGTGGGAAGATATAAAATGCAAGATAAAACAGAAACGAATGCTGTCACTGAGCCTGGAGGCGCTATGAAAATGACTGATAGGCTTTCATCATAAGGAAGAACTCCCTTCTCTGCTCTGAAATGCTCAGTAAACTCTAAACTTTTGATGTGAGAATGTGACAGTATAAAATGGGGTCGGAGTTGGTCTATGAGCAAACACATAGTGTGGACAGCTCTTCTGACTGCGTGATTGGCTCATTATCCTGCTGGCCCAAGGCTTCACTGAATACATTAGGGCGGTTATATACTGTTCTTGGCAGGAGGCGTTATGTTTTCGGGTCGTCTTTCTGTATGTCACCTTTTTATGAGTGAGATTTCTTAAGAATGCCCTGAGGAATGTCTTCAAATTTGGTACAAACATCAACCATGATAAGATTTTGGTCGACAAAGGTCCAAAGGTGAAGGTCACGTGACTGCTCAAAACACACGTCTTACCTCGTGGATGTGATATCTCAAATTGTGCTTGCACGTTCACTTACACTCACGGACTAAGTTATTCGATTTCGGGGGGTCAGAGGTCAAACGGGCAAGGACACGGTGGCCTCTTGAACGTGACATATTTAAAGCCCGCCTTGAGGGAATGTCTAACTTTTGATCAGTTATCATTTCGACTCAAAGATTAACTGATGATATTTCAGTGGTCAAAGGTAAAATAAAAACATGTATGTAGACGGAAAACTGCACTGGGTGGTGGAGGCATGCAACCTCCAAACACATTACAGTATGTTTTGGCCTCACCACACTTTTGTTCTCTAATTGTTACTAACTATTGAGGGATGTAGTGATCATGCTGGACAACTGAGCGGTAGAGCGGTCATCCTCCAACCAGAAGGTCAGCCGTTTGATCCCAGTCTCCGTGCCAAAGTGTTCTCAGGCAGGATGCTGAACCCCAAATTGCCCCTCTTAGAAATTTGTTTTTCAAGACAAGAAACAGCTTTATAAATACAAACCATTTACCATTTGTATCTATTTGTAAGTATTATTCACTGCTAGAACAGTTTTCTATGATAATTAGTCCATATGTATTTGGAATAAAGCTATCATGTCTCCAATCAATGTACCAACAAGCTTGTTCGAGATGAGACATGTCTGTGCAGAACTCGCTGCACACTGCATGCAAATTAGATCAAACCCACAAGATCAAGGTTGTCGGCAGATTTTGAAGCCACGTGTTGCAGTTGTGCCCTGCCAGCTGCAAAGCATCAGGGCATGATGGGAAACGCCTGGCTCTGATCTGATCTAAGAGCTGATTGGTTGATATTTTGATTCTATTAGTCAGAGCTGCACTCTGATGTTGTATTCTATAAAGGGTTAGGGTAAGCTTGAGCTAATTTTACAAATATTCCTCATTAAGTGCGTTGTGATGTGAGGATTCTGGAAATAACATATCAGCTATGAGTGTGTGTGTATGTGCTGTATAACAGTATTTATATGTAGGACATCAGAATACTGGAAATGTACCTTTACATATGCAAATTAAAACGGGAACAGATTTCCTACAGCTGATTGACCCCTTGTGATGAAGAGACAAATATGATGTTAAATATCTGTTTCTGAAATCGCCCTGGCTGCCTTTGTCATCCACACGAGACGCTGCAAGTGTAACAGAGCACATGTGAGTAAGGAGAGGGTATTTCAAAGTCATGTATCCCCTCTTGGCATGCCAGAGGAGTTAGAGCCCTCTACAGGCTTTGAAGTCATAAAATACTCAAGATACAAGATGAGATGGAAGATGATCTGGAGCCAGAAAATACAGTCACACTTCCCAGCAGTAACAAAGCTCACTTTTACCCAGCACAAGGCTTCTGTTCCCATGCTTGGTGGCACAGCCATTTCCATGTTTTGTCTTTACGCCTTCTATTGTCAAAAAGTGTTGCATTTACAGTCAACGTGGAAAATTCCAGACAGATCGACATGCCCTGCTGGAAACCAATCACAGATTTTATAATATCGCATATTTTCCAAATGCGCTCGGTGCAATTGACTGCCCTCATGTTCAGATTGTATCCCTGTGAGCAAATGAGCACATATACTGAGATATATTCCAGCAGGTTCCAGGCCCGTATGTGGGAAATTACAGAGGGGATAGAAAAGCTATCCCTCCCCAATCCTGTTAGGGCCCTTATCACTCCACTTCCGTTTTGAGTGACACTCAATTTGAAGTGTCAGTGATGTGATGGAAGGGGGCCACTCACAGGTGAGGATCTGAGGTGGAAGAGAATGAAAGTTGCAACTCTGGGATGCACTGCGCTCCATCATCAATTCACGACGCCATTCTCCATCACCAGAAAGCTGTAGCCGCAGATAGTGGAGGTTTTAGTGCAATTATAGATTTGAAGTTTCCCCACAATGTAATATTTACAACACTGAATCAATGAAAATGAAAAGATTGGCGGGACGGCTAAGCCCATTGTCAATCAACACGCCGATCCCTGCTGAAAGGAGCAACATATTTTGAATGAAACCTATTTGTTATCCTCTCTCATAAACTCTATGCTATATTAAATCAGGAATTTCTCCACAAGGAAAGTAGACTTGAGCACACACCTGCTCATACTATAGTCAACGGTCTACCCAGATCTATTCCACACATGTAGTTTTGTAAATATCACAGTGACCGTTTTCAGACATGACCCGAGGACACAGTCCAGACTTTCCCCACAGTTTGCTTTTCACACATGCACAGCAGGAGGTTTTCTGCACAGATGCTTCACAACAACAACAAATCCTGTTGATTATTCAGGCGAGAGGTGGAACAGCAGGGCGTAGCCAGTAGAGACAGGAAGAAACAAAGTAATTCTGCTTTTAAGATCACGTGATTTTCTTTTCAATCGTCTATGTGCATGACACTACTTTTTCACCGGGAGGTATTTCGTGGAGTTATAGTTATTGGATACTCTGACTACTGATGCGAGGCAGAGAAAAGTCCACAAATAATCTGGAGGCTCTTACCAGGACATTTGTGTTCACACATTCACTTCCTCTGGAGGAAGTACGGAGATTCACCAGAGTTCACTGCATGTCTGAAAACAGCTTTTGTTGTGTTTGGCCGACATGAACAGCACAGCATTTAAAAGCAAGAAAAAGAAAATACTGTGTGCAACTGCCAAACAAGAATTAGAAAGAGAACAGGAAAACAATTCTAAACTGTACATGCATGGCATGAAACAGGCATCCAGCTTGCTCTTCAAGTATATGCTTGTGTAGCGATGCCAAATATACAGAAGTAATGTATAAGAGTCCATTATGCCTTTGTGATATCTATTCTAATACTAACAGCGAAGCAGACACACTGAACATCAGACAGTTGCACATGCACCCGGTGTAGAAGAGCCACATGATTACATGGGGGATGAGGAGCCAAAGGCAGGTTAGCCAGCCTGGAGAGTGGAAGATGCACACTACCTGCTTTTAAGATTTATGCATACAGTGAGCAAAATGTCACAAAACTGAATGTGGAGGAAAAGCACTGATACTGCACCGGTAATCGTTGGACTCATGGGGCCTGATCTACTAAGATCCCAAACAAAGAGTGCTAAATTGCATGTGCATTATAACAGATTGCACGTTTGGTTGGTGGCTGTTTTCAGGTGGTCTACTAAAAATAATTGATAAATGATAACAGGAGCAAACATGGTAGAGGCAGTGGTATTTTATGTTTTGCGTACGGAACTGGTTTCCACCATGGAGCATTACGGAGAGCAGAGTGACCACAAGCGCAATGCGAAATTTAATCCTCATGGAATGCGTGTACTAAATTAAAGTATTTGCATCTACTCCTCCCAATATTTGCGCACTCAAAACCCCCGATATTGCATATTCATTGAGGCAAAAGTCCTAAATGAACAGCACATTTTATTCTTCACACAATCATCAGTGCACACCATTAGTAGATCAGCTCGCATGTTTTTTTGCAGGTGAAATCAATTTTCATGAAGGCTCATGAAGTGTTGCAGGACTAAATTGTAGTGGTGGAATCACAAGTGTGTTGGTGGAGTGGGATTGAAACCATTGTACTAAAGGGCACCTAAATACTGGGAACAAGTGTGTTTGACAGTTAATATTAGAGTTGGCTTCAGTTAAGGGTCGAGATTTAGGGTTAGATGCTAGAGAATGTATTGTATAAATGTGGGTCCCCACTAATGTGGAGAGACAAAGTTGTGTGACACAGATAGAACAATAATGTGACACTCACTTTGATAATTCCACTGTTATCACCAGGGAGAATGGGAATAATGTAAACAGAAACATGAATATAAATATATATTCTTGACTAATTACATCTGCCAACATAGCAAGTGGCTGCATACACTACAATCAGTGGTGCAGTACAAATATTTGGCCTCCAAATATATATATATATATACAGTTTAATTAATCCTAATTGGACCACTTTGCCCTTTAAATACATTCATTTAAAAACCTGAACTAATAACTGCATCAGCAAGTTAACACATGTATCCATGGTCATTGGAGTAAATACTAATCAAGTGATACATTTAAGAAAGTTCCCACTGTGATACTTTCACACATCATAGGTTTATCTCAATAAGCCATACACGTTTAAAGATCACTGCACATCTCTTTTCCACATTACAAGGATCACAACTTAAAGAAATCTGTTTTATTTGCACACGTAAGGTGAATTAAAATCAATATGAAGAAGCAAGAACTTTTGCAGCAGCTCTGTGCATTTCCACTGAAGGGACCGGGATCTGAATTAAGTTCTGAGGAAATCTATTTACTCCCCCAAAAGTCCCTGCTCTGGAGGTACTGGGGCTTGTGATTGGTTGAGAACTCCAGCATTTTATTATGACAGATCAACCTCTGCAATATTGCTCATGAAAAGCATTTCCTTATTTAAAGTTGAGTTGCTCGAGCCATTCTCCACCACTGACTCAATCAACGAGCAGTGTGTCACTATCAACAGCATTAACATCCTCCATGTTTACTGTTGTAGTGTAGCTTGATTGATATAGTGTCATCTCTGTTGTATAGTCTCATGACCACCCTCTAGTGGATTGACTTGGAAGACTGTGAACAACAGTGGGCAGTAAAAAGTTCCTGGGACTAAACACTCCAGGTTCTCAAAAGGTGACATACAAAATTGCTACTTCATCTATATATTGCATATTCATTTCAACCACTAGGATTCACATCCACATGACACACTACCCCTGGTCCCTGGAGCAAACCAGAACTGAAGTAATACTGGACTAACATTTGACAGGTTGATGTTTTCTTCCCTTGCCGAAGTCATCAAGAGTTGCTGAATATATTTTTAAGAATGCACAGGGGGTAAATACTTCTGCTTGTTTCTTGTTAAAACTGCCAGCCAATTTACCTGCTGGGGGGTTTTACTGAGGAGTGCAATAAAAGCACTATTTACTCAATCGCTTGATTTTCTGTAACAAACCAATTTTCTTGATGTCCTTTGGTGAACATTGATGTTGCATAATCTTTAGGGCTTAAGCTCAAACCAAAGCAAAGCCCAAAAGGTTTGTGCTCAGCTGTTCAAGGACAACGTCATGCTCCCAGACCGGAGAGTGGATGAATAAATTCAATGACTTTTTCTCCCGCCCAACAGAGAGGCTGACATTTATGGCTATAGGAGAGATTTGTCATGAACTTTGTTATACATTCAAACATAAGTTATAAAGTTGGGTCTATGATTTTTCATCTAAAACTATTCATTATAATGTCGAAAATGCTGATTGTTTAGTTCTTTTGACAAAATTGATTAATGACAAAATACTTCCTGTCTCAAATTTACATCAGCATGTGGCCACTGTCATCAGCTGTGTTTCCACTGCAGAGACTAGGGTCTGACTTAAATCAGAATCCCTTGATCCCCCCAAAAGCTCCTTGCTCGGGGGGGTAGTAGCTACACTGATGATGCCTGATTGCTCGAGTGTTCCAGTGTTTTATTTCAGTGCAGTTTCCTTATTTTGTTTTAATTTGTTTGTTTTTTGAAACACTTTAATCAATAGCAGTATAATTTGATTCTCCTGTTTGTCGTTTGATTTAAAGGGCATCACCGTTGTTATATAGTCATCTGTGCTACTGTGGAAGAGCTCGTTTATACATCTGCAGGCTAAGGCAGGTGAACAACGGGCTGCAGGATCTTTTTACTTCTTACTAGGGACTTAAAGTTCCAGGTGCTTTTGGTTCCAGGTTCTTCACCTCAAGGCATTGCTGTGCTGATGCGCAGTTTCTAACAGCAATGTTGTACATTCCTATTCTTTCAAATCAAGATGCAGACACTCTTCCAATAGGAATAATGTTTGCTCAAGGACTGCATATAATAAATTCAATCTCAGACCACCTCATTCAAGTACTTCTGCGTGGTCCACACCCAAGTTTGGAGAAAAGCTTTCGCATTGAAAAACTGCTTCAGCTTTCACACTAAACTACAGACAGTAAAGTGCGCATAGCCGTTGTTATAGCACTGTGGATTTGTTTTTAAACCCGTGTGCTCATGTTGCTTCGGCTGCTGGATTCAGCTCTGCTACTGCTCAAGCCTGTCCAACTCTCGTGTCACAATCCCGTTCGATTTACGGGGATGCGCTTTTGGTTCAGTTCGAGTTTACACATGCATAGGATCAGGTGTTCAGATGTGGGGAAAAGGCTGGTGTATTTTTCCATCTTGAAAATTGGAGGAATATGACAGTTCAGTTAATCCATTTGATGGGCCAAAAGCCAAGCATTGGCTCGGAATACGCTGACGGCGATCTAGGTGTTTGCTGTCAATGTATGTTTCAGTCTGTGATAAACTAATTAAATTAAGCACGAACTTGAATATCTTTACAGACAGTGTACACTTGAGGAGGAGACAGGAGAGAATCTGAAATGACATTTACACCAGTGAGTCTCCATTCTGCCTGCCTGTCTCTCTGACCTAAAATAAATTGCCAACCAGAAAAAGGAAAATGCATTATTACAGAGTTCAGTGCAAATAAATGGTGGTGGCATCCAACTAGGGGCTATTTTCTCTGCCCGGCCCACTCTTCATACATCTGTGACTAACTCATTGAGACAAGACATCTCCCGTCATGCATATTCAGTGGGCATCAATCTCAACAATCCTCTCACTCTAAGGCTCTCTCCCCTTCTGCTCACAGAAATGGGGCTTTGTCAATACCAATGAGAGGAAACTCAAGACGTCCTCAGGGGGGGGAGGGCGCTTCATGTGTTTTAAGCATCCCTCTCCCTCTCTGCCCTTCCCTCCTCTTATTTTTCATTCCAAATTCCATTAAACATTTTGAAAATTTGATGTCTGGCAGAGGCATCTCGGGACCCAAGTTTAGACAGAAGTGCTGCTTAATGACTTAAATGGTGTGAGGTTAAGTTTGGGTGAGCAGTTGGAGGAAATAATTATTCTGTCTGCTGAAGTCAGCTGAATGAAGCACCTCCCCTCTGCGTATCCAGATGTTGCAAATTGTTAGGAATGTATAGGCATCAATTATATATTCCAACAGTAAGCATTTCGACTGCTGTTTCAGCTGCTGCTCTCACAAATGCTGATCCCTAATTACACATTTAGCCATTAGCCTTATCTTAATTCAAACCTTAAAGCCTGCCTCATGTCAGCCCCTGTGCTACAGAAGTATTGCTACAATGGAAAAGACAAATTAATAACAATTACAGATTTAAAGGTCCAGTGTGTAATATTTAGGTGAAAGGGACCGTCTCTACGGAGGCCGCCATGTTTTTTACATTAGTCCACACTGGACAAACTAAACACCTTTTGAGTTTTTATGACAACTGAAGCTACCACAGGTTCTTTTTCATGTTTGGAAGGAGAGGGTGAGGTGAGGGGTGTTCAGCTGCAACATGCAACTTCAACAGCAGATATCACTAAATTCTACACACTTTAAAGAAAACGCACTTATATACAAGAAAACTGAACCGTGACTGGTACTGGTGATGGGGAATATGTTTCAACTTGTTTTAATAGTTCATCTTATACCATTAATTATATCGAAAATACATTAAAAATCATATGGAAAACAAAGTGATCTCTTTCCCAATCTAGCTTGCTCTTTCTCCACTTTCTCTTGCATGTGCACCGATACGATACATCTGGAACACTGTTTCATCAGCGTAGCTCTAGATTCAATCACATAACTGCATCACACAGGAGATGAGGAGTCAGGAATCTCCTGCAGAAGCTTGGTGTGAGAGGCTTTCAGTCAGCTGATCTGATGGAACAGTAACAATAAAAGCCACAGGAAACTGGGCCTGGTGAGAAATACGTCTGAAAGCCTCAACAGCAAAATTCTGGGAGTCTCAACAAAAAATTGTTTTCAGGAGAAATTGTCATTAAAATGTACTATAAGCATATTATGTCCAGTATTAGATAGGCAGGGTTTTCACTACATTCATTTTGCCTCATGATTGGGGTAGACACCCTTGCACCGTGTATTACCCTGCAGCACGTCTTCCCTCCTCCCCCACAGGTTATCAGACCTGAACGGTTCAAACAGTTGATTCGCTCTCAAGTTTATAAAACACGTATTTAAACCCATTGAAAAAAAGTCCAACAGTTCCCACAGCACGAGACTCGCACAGCCAAAACATCAGGGTTAAAGTGACACCCTCAATTAATAACTTTATACATGTTGGTGAAGAGCAACAGAGACAAAGCAACACCCTGTTTATCCATGAACGTAAATATAAATCCAGCATGTTTTTATAAAGACCACTGTGAGTGGTTAAGAGAGAGAAGAGGATACTGCTTCAGCATAACACTGGAACACTAGGTAGGGGGGACCCGCCCCGATTGCCACTGGGTATTTCACACACTGAGCAGGGCAATTGTGGAAACTGCTTCAGTCTAATGTGCAACTTGAAAAATAAATTTCTCGAAAATGGAGCCTTGACAGAAAATAAGCACTGTTAGGAACTTTAATTGCTGGCTGATTATGTTCAGAGGCAAAATATTATTTTTTTTTTACAACAACCAGTGCTACATTTTTAAAAGCTACAGAATGATCAGTGGCTGCTTTGGATAAATGTTAGGTGTACAAAGAATTGTCTCATCAGAGACCACATACATGGTGCCGGTTTGTGGGTAGGATGAGGCAACAAAAGGGTTTTGGTTATGATCCGGAAGAGACCACGTGTTATTAAATTTAACATGCAAACTACAGTCGTTCCTCATACATGAATGACCTATCTTACAATTAAAGAGACTGAAAAGACACCACAAAGCAATGGGTTCTTCCCCGGCCCATACTACATCACTCCACCAAGTTGCATGTTAATCTGTTATATAGTTTGTGTAATCCTGCAATCCACTATCAGACAAACAAATGCAGACTAAAACAACCTCATCGGTGCAGGCATGAAAATATTATTATATTATTATATTGTATATATTTCATTGCAAGATTGATAACTTCAAAGAGAGAGAGAGAGAATCTTGATAAAAATCAATTCTCAATAGTTTAAAGTGAGTTTGTTAAAGTGCATGTTGACTCATTATGGAAAAATAAACAGCTTATGTTAAATACAGCAACATATTTACAGTCAGAAATAGTTCCTTAGTGTTGGAGCAGAAGTTATTCTCTATTTCTCATCTAGTTGCGATCTTGCGCAACATGAAAACGATGCTGGAGTGAGTGAAGATGTATTATCTAGTTAACGAGTGTTTCTTCATCTATCTCCCGCATTTATCTCAAACTGCACTTAGAAGACGATCACACAGAAGAGCCAAATGGAAAACGTCATAAATGGCTGCCCACTCACCCCTCATGCCTGATGACCATCCTTGACCTTTCAAGTAGCCGCCAACAGAACGGTGATCCATCGTCCTTCTTCACCATCAGAAACACTTCAGCGCTGCCCTCACTTAAAAGCCACATCGGAAATAGTGAGCTCAGGATATTGTACGTGCAAGACACGCATTACCCTGTCGCGTCACAGCAGCTGGTCCCCTGCTCTTGATGGACCCTGTTCAAAGAGAAATGAGGAAACATGTAACCAGCAGGCTGTGTCGTGTGCATCAAGTCAGTTAGGTGGCTTTGCAGGGACTGCACTTACATCTGGGTAACCAGTATTAATGGTGGGGGTTAAAATATGTCAATATCAATTGGAAACTATATTTAGTCATCTCTGGGGTTTGAAGTGTGTCGAAGTAAAACAGTGTAGAGTTAATTTATTCATTGTGAAGACAAGGAGCACATTGAAGCTGGAGGAAGGTAGTTACCGGCCTGCAACTGACCCAGCTGCAGAGAGGTGACCCTCAGTGACAGAGGTAGGTCAGTGGTGTTAACACCCACATCCATTTCCCATGGTAAATGGACTGAATTCATAAATCGCTTTTCTAGTCTTAAAAGACTTTACAGTACAAGTCACACTAACCTCTATGTGCAGTGCTTTCTCTATCACATCATTCACACAGGGTAATTCAGGGTTTGGTGTCTTACCCAAGGACATGTAAGTATGCGGACTGGAGAAGCTGGGGATACAAACTACTGGCGTTCTGCTTCTGGGATGACCCACTCTACTTCCTAAGTGACAGCTGCTCTTTACAGGGAAATGTTTGTGAATACAAAGACTTAAAAGTTTGTGGGATCAACTGGCGCGTGGACATGTCTCTTCTGTCACTGTCAGGACCTAGCGTTTATCAAATTTGGATGTGCTTGCTTTTGTAGACTTTCTGAAAATAGCAGAATTCAGATATCCTCTGTTGTTCAGTAGTGCGAATAGCCTCTATCACAGGACTGCAGGAGCATTGATGTGAGTTTGTGGAGGTTACAACTCCAGTCTGAAGCTCTACCCATTAATGAACTCCTTGAGGGAGTAGACAGGATTTTGGGGAAAACAAAAGCTGGTGACTCACTATTTTTGGACATGAAACTGAATTGTGATAAATTAACAAAATATTTTCTTTATTGGTAGGGCTGTAAAATGCCACCATATATTTTCTTATGCACATAACCACTTAAACTGGGAATCACAATAGAGTGAACGAGTTCTGTTAACGTGTTCCTGTAGTTGTGGAATGCAGAGAGAAGTTCACTCCATCTTCACTTTCTACTGTGTTGAACTGTAAAATCTCATTATTATATTATACCTGCATTAAAATAGATTTCTGACCTCTCGAGGGCAGAACAAGCTGCAAACACAACATTAACAGATTGGCCCTCATCTAGCATAGGTGAGCATAAGCCTGCTGTTGGGCGGCTATTTCAGTTGGCACTCTCCTAAACTTCTGCTTCCAGCCTTGTATTATTATACTTTAAAAAAAAGACAAACTACACACAGAAAATAGCAGGTTTTGGATAAAAATTTGGATCATGCAATCTCACAATTGTTAAAACATTTGTATTGTTTTATTGCAGTTTCTTGGTTGCAAATTAGCCATTTTATTGACAGCGCTGGATCCACTTGTGACATTGTAAGATTAGAAATCCCTCCAAACCTGAAGTTAAGTAATGTAACATTCTGGATAGAAAATTTAAATTTAAATTTTTTGCTAGTTAATAGTGACAACTATTGGAACAGAAATGAGAGAGGTGCAGTATAATTTAGTCATTTCATAAAACAGCAGGGATAAGGCTTACGGATGTAGTGAGGCCTCCAAAGTCAAAAACCAGGGGGAGCAGTCCAAGCTGTTCAACCAGAGCCAACCAGGAAGCATGTGGTAATCCAGAGGCCAGAACATGAGTCCAAAGATCCAAGGTAAGAACAGTTAGGCAAAAAAAGAGCACAGGAGAGAAGAGCAGAACCACGCATGGGTGGAACACAGAACACTCAAGCAGAACACAGTGAAAAGGGGGGTTTATATACACTGAGAAGTGATTGGTTAATAAGACACAGGATGGGAACACACAAAGGCAGGAAGTCAAACCCACAGCAAACTTCTGAGAACAGTGATTCCAAAATAAAACAGGAAGTCAGAGAAAGTTCACACAGGGAGAAGATCGTGGCTGAAACACATGAAACAGATGCAACACTGAGAGCAAGAGAAGGAGATACTCTAATTCAGCACAATGTACAAAACATGCTAAACACATTTAAGAAAATTGCAGTGCTGAGCAGAGTAAAAGTATAGTCTAAAAATCAATACTATAATATAATTGAGCAACACATTCTACCTCTGTGAAGCCAATGTTTAGCTTTTTTATTTCTGTTTTTCTTATTTGAGGCTGACATTGATGTGCTGCTTAAAATCTATGTATGGCTTGTGAGGTTGTAATTGGTAGTGCTGCTGTACTAAATGATATCCAATTATTATTTTGTGTTTCTTTTTTAAGAATACAAACGTTAGAGCTGATGAATATATTTGGAATGTAGTTTACTCCTCCCACCGTAAACATCATGTGATTGCAGCAACATTTTGAGGCTTCTATGTCCTGGCTCTGTGAATGTTACACTGAAGCAATAAAGACATCCAGTAATAACAGAGCTACATTTGTAGTAGTGAGTTTACATGAGATGAATATATGTCTCCTTTTAGCTGTTTTCAGTTTGCACCAAGTCCTGAAAAAAATGTATGGCTCCTCATCAATTGAAAAAAACAAAGGTCAGACTCCACAACAGCAATGTCAAACCTCTTCTTCTTTATGGCTCGAAAGATCAAGGCCTTCCACAATGAATGCATCAGGAAAACATGCTGCATCATCTCGCCTTAAAAAGATCTCAAATAAATAATTGACAAGGAGAATAAGAGCCAGAGGGTGGTGCTAGAGAGCAGACATTGGTGCAGACAATGGCTTGGGGGTGTCCTTAGAATGGATCAGAGGAGCATACCGAAGACCTCCCTGAGATGGACACCACCTGGAAAACAAGGTCAGACCAAAATAACATGTCGGTGCACTGTGACCGGCAAACTGAGGCTCAACATGCAGCGCAGGGGAGGCTCAGATGGAGGCAGATCATTGATATCTTATCCCCCTCAGGGACGAAGAGGTAGCAATTAAATGCTCCACTGTTTTTCGCCAATGATTTGTTCGTTCATGTCTGTCTGTAGTTTGATGCTTGAAAGGCAGCATTAACTGGATTTGTCTGAGCATTATTTTCATAAGAGCTACATGTTCCCCCTTAAAACAATGAACAGGGATGAAATGTGAAGAAATATATTTCCTGAAAATATACTGTGGTTGAGTAAGTAGTATTATTTTAGTAGTATTCTTAATAATTTACCTGACAGCGTTAAATCAGGAACAACATTGTAAGTCCCTGCACAAGAAGAAGAGAAAGTTATGCAAGTCAATTTGGCACTTAGACCCCATTGTGATGTCATTATGTGTGAAAGAGGAATGAGAGGAGACCTTCCCCCTGGGTCCAAGCACTGGTCGTGGTTGTGATGGGATGTATAGAGTCTCTGAGGTTCTGAATGGGATGAGGAGTGAGCTGGGGTCCAGCAGGGCACTGGAAACTGGTGGTGATGAGGAGGGGGAGGATCAGGGGGAGGCAGTGGATCACTGAAATGGCACATTCTGATTGGATCACTCCAACACCCACAGTTGTGTGTGTGTATGTGACAGAGAGAGAGGGGGAGAGGGAGAATAAATGAATAAATGAGTCATCCTCCTCCTGATTGAAGTTATACTCGAAGCTTCATAACAATGAGCTGACAGACACTACCTACCCCACAGAGCTCAGGGGAGACCGCACAGTCATTTGATCATTCTCCGTGGGTTTGTCACTACTAATGACATCTTTGATATTATACACTTCCATTTGATCCATTGTTAATATAAAAGTATTGATTGTAGCTGTAACTTTAAGTTGGCACATTCAGGTAATTTTGATTTGCAATTAAGCTGAGCATAAATGTTTTGCTCGATATCTTTTAATTCTTTTATGCAATTGTAGGATGAGAAACAAAAATACCTTATATTGTCTTTATATTTGTATTTTCTCATGATTGATCAGACCTGAGAAGAAAATCTTTGCCAGATTTTAGTGGGATATTAAAAATTATTTGTCAGCATTACCGTTGAAAAATAAGTTATACAATAATTAGAACTTCACATGGAGACGCATTATTGTGCCATATTGGAAGTGAAATGTTACATGGTCTGAGTTAATTTTATAATATCATTGTTGCCACAATGGTGGTTTGGAGCGACGAGGGCCAGAGAGCAGACACGCAGGCTGGAATGTGAAGGACGTTTTCATGAGGTCGGAGCAGAAAAGCAGACTTACAGGCAGATGGACGAACAAGCAGGGTGGTGAGTCAACAGACAGACAGACAGACAGGCAACAGGTAACAAATGGAACTAAAGCAGACAAAGAATGAGCGGAATCCAGTGACTGAATACACGAGGAATGAAAGGGTAACTGGGTGGGAGGTGGTGGAGCATGCAGACAGTGAAACACTCATAAGGGCAGGAAGAAAAAGAAAAAAAAAAGAAGATAAGGGATTATGAAAATAAAAAGTCAAGAAAATTATAAGAAAAATACAAGTTATCACAGTATCAAATCCTGCAATGTAAAAGGATATATGTGACACATTTTCCTAGGACTGATCTTTTAACATGTATTCAATGTTTTAACAATATACTCTGTAATTTGAACTAATTTGAACATGAATACAATACATCACGTTACAACACAACTTTATTAAGGCAAATTGGTAGGGTAATTAAAAGAACGCAACAAAACAAGATACAGACATGCACTGACAAACATCCACTAAAGCATAACACAACAAAACACTATAACAGAGCTGATGTAGTATACAACTCATAAAAACATAAGCGCGGCAGACAGCACCTCTGTCCCATGTACCAAGCCTTTCTAAAACCAAAAGAAAACTATTAAAACAATAGTTATCACATTCACATGAACAGAATCATATCTAAAGGGGAATAATGTATTTTATTTTAAAAAATCGGAATGGAAAAATGATTATGAAGAGTACAGGAATGAAAAAAAAAAGAGCAAATACTCTAAGACACTTTGAAAACTACTCTGGGTTGTTTTTTTCTTTCATTTAATGCTTTTCAGTCATTATGGTTCCATACAGAGCCACTGTTCACATGCTCCCAAACACTGTCTTTTGTCTGCACATAGCCCATTTAGTCCATTAAAATAAGTACCTGCTGGATCTTAACAGGAGCCAGTAGAAAAGGCTCCAAATGTATTAAAAGCTTGTAGTGTGTCGTTAGCTCACCCACCTGACAGTGTGTTACAGCTCACCTTGACAGACACAGGGAAAGGTCCTTCCTCTTCTGACAGATGAACTTGAAACCCGCCCTCTGAGACTTCATTCCTTTCCACTCTTCACCTCTCTCTTCTGACTTCAAATCTTTTTTTTTTTTTCATATTTAATCATATGTTCTCTGAAAGATCAGGCTGTCAAAATTCCCCTCAACCACAAAAAAGTACATCTTAATAAGAAAAGGTAAAAGAAGCCTTTAAAGTCTGAGGCCCCTAAAAACGTCGGTGTCTTTTACCCCCATAGAATGAATGTCTGAAACATGAAACATATAAATGTCTTATATAAGTATATAATATATAAAAATATATATTATCATTAAGATTACAATTATTTGAACAAATGAAGGCCAATGCTAATAAAAGTCTTCCTGCAGATGTTTCTAGCAGGACAGGGCAGAGACGTGATGGACGTCTTTGAGTTAAAAACATCTCCAAAGGAAGTGTTCAAAGACACAAAATATTCCGAGTGACTATAGATAAATTCTGGATTTTGTCTGAAATCAGAATTAAATTATATTATGAGACTCTTCCTACCAAGAAAAACAACATCAAGTCATTTCAGTGAGTGTCCCACAACAACATCTGTTTATGTTTAAATGAAAAGCCCTCCAGCAGCCGAAATAATGAAGAAATAATTTGGGATGATCCAGGCCTGTGGAGAATTTATCTTTTCGCCTATACATTACATAAGCAACTTCATTCCAACTTGCTCTGAATGTAAATGCAGCAAAGATAACCTGGTGTAGGTTTTGCATCGAGTGAGAACTTCAGGGCAGGGAAACACTATTTGTTTAAATATAAACAGCGTTGAAACCGTTGCAGGTGAGATGGTCATTCTTGCGGAAGAAATCTCAGAGTTACGTGATGTGGGTTTAAATGCATCTTTAAATCCACTGTGAACACTGCCTTTTTAAAATGGCAGGGTTTGTATTCACGTCGCTGTAGTTTAGATTAGATGAACTGAATTGATCGCTGTTGGGAAATTGTTGTGTCATAGCAGCAGGTCAACATTCACAAAGAGTAAGAATACAAAGAGACAAGGTGCAACATTGCAGTATTTGTTTGACATGACTAAAATAATAAATAGGACTATATGTGGTAAAATTAGTATGAATATAATATGAGCAAAATAAATAAATACATTGACAGTTGTCAGCAGTAATTACTATGAAGTACTATCAGAGGTGGGAATTGTACAATCTTATTGCTGTGGGCAATAAGTATCTGTCCTTGCGGCAGCGCAGCTGATCCAGTCTGTTGGAGAAAGTGCTCCGCTGTCTGTCCACCAGGTGGTGGAGAGGGTGCTCTTGATTGTCCATGATGGGTAAAAGCTTATTCAGCATCCACCTCTCCACCACCACTTCAAAAGTGTCCGGTTTGCAGCCAATGACGGAGCCAGCCTTCTTAATCAGCTTGTTCAGTCTGTTGGTGTCACCGGCTCCGATGCTGCTCCCCCAGCAGACGACAGCAAAATACAGTACACTGGCTACAACAGACTGAATTTCCAACATCTTGCTGCACACGTTGAAAGATCTCATGAGCTTCCTCAGGAAATAGAGTCTGCTCATTCCCTTCTTAGACAGCATCA